TAAATAAAAACAAAGTTTGCAGTCACAGCAGATTCATTGTCATGTCTACTAGGAGGTTTGTTGGTCGTGAGCGTGAAGCAGGGAGGATCCATCACACTTACCTTCTCGCTCACCCTAGAATGTGGATGCAGTCTGGAGCAGAACTGACGGTTTTATACCAAAAAGCTGCCAATACGTCATTATACATTAGCTGTAAGGTAGAAACACATTCAGCGTTCGTCTGGAACACATCAAACACATTGATATGCGTTGGAGATAAGTTCTTGATAAGTTATGCACAAGGTTTTGGATAAGCTGGACGCCACGACTTATGAGTAACTTTAACTCAACGTATATCATCGAATAGATAGCTTACCTGTAACTTATGCTCCACGTATGGCATACTTGCCATATGTCGACGTGTGCCAGCCTGTTTCATCGTGCTTCAGCATGCTTAAGATTTTTCTTATGTCAGGCATGTGCTGTCTAAATCGTCAAGGTGTGACAGGGGCATTAGCCTGCGAATTGTAGATAATTTAGTCAAAGCGTAAGTGTGTGTACTTAAGGTCACTGAAGGCAGGAATTAAAGAGCTGTAGATAAACAGTATGACATAAAATGATTAAAAAGGTTATTACTTTATTGCACAGGCCTAATAGAGATAACTTTTAAAACAAAAAAAAAACATCAGTATCTTTGCAATAAAACAAAACGCAGAAAAGTACAAATACCCATTATTATCCACTAAATAGTTTTAGTTTGGCTACTATTTCCCATAAACTTTTGTTTAGAAATGGTTTTCACGACTATTATTTTTCTTACTTTATGCATTTGAAAATAAACTAATTATTTTATTCTTGTATAATTATATTTATCACATTTTGTTGCCACACAGGACCAATGGAGACAGATATTTGAACAATGAGGCCTACAGTTTGTAAAATGTATTGTCTTCAAGAATCTTTATATTCCAACAGGCTGAAAAGCTTCAAGTTAATGAGTTGAAACTATGAAGTGTTAATCCAATTATTTTAAGACCCCTTTTTATGTTTTTAGCTCTTGTGCCTTTTTGTTTTATAAATTGTTCCTGTTATGGGGGCTTCCTTAAAGCCATATGTGGTTCTTATCAGTATAAACTACAATTTGAGGAAGTTATCATCACCATCCTTGTAGACTAAGACAACTTTTCACAGAGTGTATACAAATAAAATTTTGTTTAGTACAGCTTTCCAGACAATAAATGGACATTTCCATTCCAATAAGTGCAGCAGTGATCTAATGTAAACAGTGTGGAAGAAAAAAAACATTGTGCAAAAAAGTGCAGTGATCTAGGAGCATTAATATATATATGGTGCAAATATGTAGTGTAGTGTAGTGTGATATGGAGTCTGGCATTCAAATAGATGCGTTGTTTAATTGTAAATATGTAAGCAACAAAAATATGGATTATTCTGGTCCTTCATTGAAGGTTCCCATAGGTTTATTTGTTTTGTTTGTTCTGGCGTTATATCACAGAGCTGTTTTGTAGGTATGAGTAAGCCTCTTGCACAGTTTATTTTAGTAATCTGTAAAGTAAATATGAGGCTCAAGTTTATAAAAGACAATTCAGAACGATGCATTTGAATTTTTTTGTACATAAATACACATGCAGTAGTTAAGTAAGTTGCTATTTATCTTAATGACCCATTGCTTCTGTAAGTAATGTCCTTTGCTTTGATTCATTTTTTCTTTTATACCACTGTGCTGCAGGAGGAGCTGAGGACAGGAGAGAAAGCAGTGGTTCTCTTCAAGTTCATCAAACACCCAGAATATTTGAAGGTGGGGGCCAAGGTGCTCTTCAGGGAGGGCGTGACCAAAGGTATTGGTCATGTCACCAGCCTGCAACCCATCTCCCAACACCACCAACATTTTCAATCACAGAATGAGAAAGATTAACGTTTTTTTAAGGAAATCTCCAGTTTGACAACTCCGTCCCGGCCCAAAAACCAAGGTGCTTTATTAAAAATACATCCGACCTCCCAAACAGACCACTTGGAACTCTCCTAGCACAGTAAATTTCTACTGCAGGACATTTATTTGTGAACTTCTTCCAAAGCCTCTTTACCTTCTCACTTGTTTCATCTTCAGGTTTTAAAATGACTGATAAGTTTGATTCTAATTCTTGTTCTTAGGTACATTTGTTGACACTATATATAAGAAACCCATTGAAGCCTAACATGACATCCCACTGAAATGTCTAAATTTTTAGAAAGAGAAAAGAAAAAAAGAGACATTTTTAAAATTGTCATGTGTTTTCAAGAGCTGCTAAATGCACTCCTCATGCAAACACATTTTTCTGCACTGAACTTTCAAATGCCAGCGATAACATCTGTGTGGTGGATTTTATTCTTGCAGAGAATGAGACTGTTTGACATTAATGCCTAAACAGTATCACTGTTATGAAATACCCGACATCATACGTGACCAATAGAAACATTTTATACAAGCACAGAGCTTGATAAACCACTGATCTGACTATTAAAGTTCTCGTAGTTGGATTATACACTAAAACTGCCATGAATAACCAGCTTTTTTATGGGGGAGGAAAATGATTTTTTCACTGCAAAGATGACTGCCAACTCTAAAAAAAAAAAACAATCCATCACCTGTGCTGGAGTACTTTTAAATTAATCTATATTACAACAAAAAAAAAAACAACCTGCTGTTGTTCAGAGTCAGAAATTTAGAGTTTTAAACTAAAAAAAATTGCAATCAAACTAACATTTTCTTATTCACTTTTTCTTGAGCTTCATCTTTTTACAGCAAGCACAAAAATATCTGTAAACCCACCAAAACGTTCCTTTTGCAAACTAAAAAAATTCTCCTTTATGCCGAACATCCAATCAGATGGCTCTGAATCACCAGCAGTGACAGAATGACCTGGCTGGATCAAAAGCATTTATAATTGGAGAACTTTGAAAGATAATTATAGGCTTTCTGTCTAAACGTCTTTAACAACCTATTTCTTATTTGCAGTATATACTGCTCAACCTGTTAGTAGAGTTATTTAAGGATAAAAGCAGACAGTACATTAGTCAGGCTCAGCTTATCAGAGTATAGAGGAACGATGCTACTGAAGATGGCATTTGAGGAATGTAAAGGAGGTAAATGTATGACCTTGGTTTAGTGTCAGTCATCAGGGTTTCTTTAAGTCGTCTTTTCTGTCATGTTTGTTTGTTAGAATCTGTTTTTACTCACAAGCAATGCCAACTATCTCTCAAGTGCTTTAGTAACTCAGGGCAAGTAGGTGATATATTAGCGACTGCATTCCATATTTAGAGCCCCTATGAGGCTTCTGTTGCTGAATAAAGGAATAGGTGATCTGATCCGAGGAATGCCGGGGAATATTTTTTTTCCAAAGATTTTTGTTTTGTTGATGAGTGTGTCCAACTGGTTTCTTATGCAATTTCCTTTGAAGCAGTGATATTAGAAATACTTGATGTCATCGCTACAGTGGAGTTACTGATGTCGAAGATCTTAGGTTTCTAAACACAGTGCCTAGTGGAGCTACTGCCCAGGTAGCTTTCTATCACACCCCAAAGTTTTACAGCTACGGAGGTAAAAAGAAACTTTGGTTGGTGCTACAGCTACAGTTTCTGTTTTTTCTGACGACTCGGAGCTGAATGTCAAAAAACATTCTGTTTAATCGAATGTTCAAACCGATTTCTACTCCTGTTTGTTTTAATGCACCCATTTTGTTCATATAGCAGTTTAGTAAAAAAGACTATACGATTGAAAAAGTTCAACCAAATACTTTACAGCATGAAGAGTTCAGGTAATAAGTTAGTTTTAATGCATTACATTTGGGTATTATAGATTTCTAGTAGAAGATTTTACAGTTTTTTATCTGTTGATGACTTTACCACAGGCACTTTTCAAGTTCAAAATGTTTCTCTTATGAGTTTAAAATGTTTTGAAAATTATCCGTGTGAAATGCAATTTTTATGTACAGATCCAATTCAGTGTGTTAATAAAATCTATTGCCTCCTGAACCTTTGTTTTTAATTTAAAAAAGTAACATTTTCTCATTGCAGGGGGCTTTTATGTCTGTGCCATAAACTCATTAAGAAAGGTGAAGGGCTGGTTACTTACAAGACGGAGCAATAATTGAGTTAGTGCCTTGCAAAACCTTCTATCGTTTTTATTATTATTTCTCCACTTCTTTCACATTACAAAAAAGGCATATTTTATTTGATTAAAGTAGCAAATAGTTTTAGAATAAAAGTAAAATGAATTAAATATATTGAGAGGTAGCATCATGCTTCTAGAATGCCTTTTCTTCAACAGGGAGGAGGAAACGGTCAACATTGGTGAGATAGGTATGTAAGGGTGGTATGATAGGTATGTAAGGTATGATAGGGTGATAAAAAAAAAAGCCTATCTTGGAGGAAACTAATTGGTGGAAAGGAAATATACTATTATGTTTTAGTCTTATATAAAATCTTTACTGGTTAGATTGCGATTGTATTCTGACAAAATGTGAGAGTTTTTAGTGTCTAAATTAAGCCTCTAATTGTACAAAGAATCTTCTAGGTCTTTAAATGTATTATTACTTTCCCTGGTGCTAAATGCTTTGTTAAAAAGGGTTCTTTGTTCCAAAAAATAACTAATCACTTGGCTAATTTATATAGTTAAGTCTTCATATTTTACTTTACTTATAGGTTTACAACATTCATAGACTTGTTTTTTTTTTTTTTACAAAGTTGGTGATGACAGATAAGGTTTTCCAGTTTGTTATGGATAAGACATGACAGCAGGTTGTACTTGAAGCCCTTATCACTAAAAACTAGCCCTGTTTAGGCCTGATTATCTTTGTTTCTACAGCAGCCTTATTCACTGTTGTGTCTGAATGCTTCAGCAGGCTCATTTCAATTTCAGTTGCATTAAAAAAGAAAAACAATCCCTTTTGAGTTAAATTAACCCACTACTGCTCTTATGTGACAAAATGTTTTCTTAAAAGCAATTTAATTTTTTTCTTTTTTACAAAAATAAAAACATGATCCAGAATAAATCATTTATTTACTCCAAACTTCTTGCTTTAATGCATGAGTCATTTTGCTGGAGTGGTTCTTTATACAAGCATTTTGTAGCTCAATTACTTGAATATTTTTAATTAATTTTGGTCCATTTATGTCTTCAGTTCTTTTTAAAAAATGAATCCAGAGTGCCGGTACTTTGTCCTTGGGAGCGCTGTCTTTTTGGAGCAGGGCCTGACTGGCCTCTGGTTTTTGTTTTGCCCCGTGAAGACTGTGCTGAGACTCCTGCTCTAAGAGGAGTCAGCAACGCATCTGAGAAAGAGGAGGAGGTGGAAGAGGAAGCTGCTGAATTACTGGATGAAGACAGTGAATTTTGAAGGTCCAAGGCAAAGTGATAATCATTGTGTTCAGGCATTTCCCAGACTAGTACTTGTTTATGACAACGTTCACAAGTTGTAAGATCTTCTTCAAGCACGCTGGTAGGTTGGGTATTTTCTTCTGGTTTCTCTGTTTTCATCCTTGCATCGTCAAATTGTAGCTGATGTGGTTTATACTCTGTGACAGCTTCTAAGTCTTTATTGTGGTCTAAAGGTATGATTTCAGGTTCTGATCCAGACGTTGGCGGTAAGGCAGGTGATTTAAAGCTTCTTTCGAGGCTCTTCTTTTGAAAGAATGAAGAGATGCCAGAACGGGGTTTCTCCGAGATGATTTTGAGGTTGAAAGTACTCTCAGGGGAAGATCCCTCTTTTGAGCTTACACAGTTATTGTCTTCTTCTTTATCCTCTCTAGCTTGTTTTTCCTTCCCAGTGGCTTTTTGAAAGAAGGACTGTATAGTTCCAGGCTGACTGCACAAAGACCCCTGTGGTTGAGAGGGGGTCTGAGTAGCAGAGAGCAGGCTCTGAGTTGAGCTGACATCACTGGACAGAAAGCCAGCGATCCCCCCAGTGGATGGAGCATCGCTGAATTTACTAGCCGAGATGTGGAGCAAAGTTAGAGGTGGCGTCCTGGAGACACAGAAGACAGAAGGTCTAAATCAAACGGCATTCCTTTAGTTCAGACTTTAAATACCTCCCAGCACTACTGTTCTTTAATTACCATGCAGCCTGATGGTTTCCTGCTGTGTTCAGACTCTTGATAATGGCAAAGCTGTCACTGGATATTTTGGTCGCCTCATAGCGCACCAAAGCGCAACATCGAGAGAAGCTGCTGGGCCTCTTATCACCAAGCTGACGTACGCCTACTGTCAATAATTTTGCCACTCGACCGTTCTGCATGAGAGAAAAATAATGTACAAAGTGAAATAAGCAATGAAATAAAACACAGGAAAACAACAAATTGCAAAAATAAAAAATAACAGTTTTTCTTACAGCTTCTCTGTCTTTGGTCAGCCTCTCCTCCAACTCAAGGGCCAGTTGATGAAGCCAATACTGCACCTACACAGGATTCATTTTAGCATGAAAATACATTTGAAACAAAGTAAATATTTGGATTCTTTTCTGTAAAGATCAATTTTTACATGCAGAGGTAATAGAGCAGAAAATTAGACATTGAAATAAGAAACATTTTAAGTTTGCAGGCAGAGACTAGTGGTCTTTACCTGCTCTTTTGTAGCAAGTGATGTTTTTCCAGGGAAGTTCTTACTGCAGCCAATGGATTTAGGGAGCTGTCTGGGTTTCACAGCTTCAAACTCAATCCCCCGACACAGGTCATACAGCCACTGGCTGCAAAGCACAAATTACAACATAACTCTCATTGTTGATAAGGGAGCATTTTCAATTTTAGTTACATTTTCATCTGACAAATGAATTCTAAGAATATTGCAAATCTGCTGTCAGAATCAGTGCAAAAATTATTTTGACAGTGGTCATTAGAATGATTCATTCTTGTATCCAAGAGTGTTTGGCTCAGATTTGTAGACGTTAAGCTTTTCTATGCAAACAATAAAATCAAGAAAAGATCATCTAAAATAAAACGCACCAGTTGGATGATGGAAATACAAAGATTTCTGGGAGAAAATGTTGAATATTTTCCTCCCGACTGTATAACTGATTTAATGTTGGTAACACCAAGGTGGTAAACTAGAAACCATATTAATATTATCCTGTTGTATTTCCTTACCCTGTTTTTTCTCCAAAGTGCTGCCCCAGCTGAGCCTGAGAGAACTGAGTGAGGTCTCCCATGTTGTCAACTCCCAGAGCTTCTTTTATTGACGCACCCATCTTGCCCCCCAGGTTACGGCTGCATCGGACAAGTCAAACAGGAGAGAATATCTCTTTTGGTCAGCATATGCATTTTAACTGAAAATCTGAGTAATTTGGAGGGAATTGTGACGATTAAACTTACATCTTTCCGATAGGCAGAGTGCTAAACAGTTCAGTCACCGAGTCCAAAGGTACAACCGTTTGTCTGTTAGGTTTATTAAGACCGCAGGCCAGTTTAGCCAAAACCTGTAACAGTAAAAAGTTATTTATTAAAATGGCAACAAAAGTCCTTGTTCCAACAGTGGAGTAATTTGAAGGTTTATATCACCTTGTTGTGTGAAATTCCTGCTGAGCATCGGAAGCCTGTGTGTTTCTCTACAGCTGCTCTCATTTCTTCAACAATGAGCGCACCGACAGTTAGCTGCAGCTCTGCCGAGCTCTGCTCTCCTGTGGACGGAGCAGGTAAGAACGCCAACCACTGCTCAACCCCTCTGGATCTTCTCTGCTCTAAGAATAAAAAAAAATAAAATATTAAGAGGGCTAACAGAGATCCTTAGCTGTAAAGTTAGTAACTAAGCCATTGTCTACCTTTATTCAAGACAGGGTCATCAACTTGGTTGGAGTCGTCCCCCATAAATGGTTCCAGGTCACTTTGTGGATAGCCTTGAACGTAGGTAGTCCTGAGAAGGGACGGGTCAATCTGTTGATCTGTCATTTTTTTCCTCCTCTCCTGGACAGCTGCTGTCAAGTCCATGTAGGCCTCATCAATGCTGGCCCTCTCAATCACAGCAAAACGAGACATCACCTCAATCACCTCCACACTTGCTTCTCTGTAACTACAAGCAAAACAAAGGAGCACAGTAAAAATAGCTTTAGCGTTTATCCAGCTACCAGAATGTGGAAGTCAGATGAGTTTATTAGCTGCACTTACTGAGTTAGATCTGCCTTCCCATGAGACTCACGCACTCTGGCCACCTGGAGATCTGGGCACAGCTTTTTGGCATCATCCACCCACATGTTCCTGGTGACACCGTGGGCCCTAGCCTCATAGCTCACAGCTATGATACTGACAGAGAGAGACACATTACTCAGTAGCCTGGGTTTAATACACGGTCACAAAGTGGAATGACAAATTAAGCGATTTATCCGTGGGAGCAAAAGGCGGGAAAGTTCCCAACACAGAGACACCAGTTTAATTGGGCAATGCAACCCGGTACACTGGAATCAGAATCGATATTATTGGCTAAGTTTAGTGGACAAATAAGCAATTCAACATTGGCGTTCATGGCTCACTTCATATTAACATTATTTAAATATGTAAAAAAAAATGTGTCTTTGTGCTGCCTCGTCATTGCATATAAACTAAGAGAAAATAAGGTTCTCAACCCGAGTTCCTCATTTCCAGCCGTCAAGCTCTGCTGTCCATTGTTTTGGTGCTGATCAGCTGTGGCATGCTTGGTATCCTTGCAGACACGGATTTCCATCGGGTTGTACTGAATTAATTAATTCATTTTGATTTGCTATAAGTCACAATTTACAAAGACCATTCAAACTGACCTGTATAATAAACTGGGTGTTTGTGGAATGTCTCCTCGTTACTCTTTTAGCACATTATACATAGACATAATGTTATTTCAGAAATTGTTTCATCTTAAACTGGCAACTTGAGCTTCAACCAGAAGTCCCATTAAAAGCTCCCACTGCCTCATATTCACCTTGGCCCTGCTGGGAATGTGTGAGGATGGAAAAGATTTTTGATGCTGCTTTTTTTTTTTTTTTTTACACTAGATTTATACAAATCTTGTCTTAAATGGGGGAATGTTGGGCTAGTGGTTAGAGCAGTGCACCTGTGCTCTGATAAGGTTGCAAGTACCTGGTTCGATCCCCACAGCCTGCACTTTGTCTCCCTGAGAAACACATTTATCCCACACTGCTCCTCAAGGGGATGGGTCAAACTGCAGAGAAAAACATTTCCCCATTGTGGGACAATAAAGGGATTTCCATTTTCACACCATCATATATTATAACCCAATGGTTCGCTGCATGGTTTTCACCACAGACTTCATTAAGTTTCACTCCTGTGGGTTAGTGGATAGCTGATGGGTGAGAAGATCCACAACAAGTACTCATTTGGGACTAGCCTGTTTTGACAGATATGCTTTTGAAAGTTTTATCCATACGATTTTTTATGGTTAAAAAATATACAGTAAAAGTCAAAAGATGAGCATGTTAAATCAAGGGAGTTTTTTTTTTTTTTTTTTCTTGTCTGAAGCAAACGCAGGCGTTTATGGGTCAAAGGGACCCTCCTAACTTCATTAAATACAAGAGCTACCTCAGTTTCACTATTATTATCAACTAATAATGACATTGCTGTGGTACATGCATAAAATATAGCTTATCTAAAGCATATTATGTGATAGACGATGTATAACTGTACGGTGATTAACTTGTCAACACTACTGTCTGTCCTGAATATATGACGTCAGCCCTGAGTTAGCTAACAACGCTTCAGGTAGGTTATATAAAGGTTGCGCTGATCACTAAAACTGTTTCTCTGTGTCAGAAACTCACCTGCCTCCCTTCCACGTCTTGTATTGAGCAACCACGCAAGGTGTGTTCTTCAGAGCTGGATTCAGTCGCTGTTCAACCTGGACATAAAAACAGTCCATGTCGACTAACGCCACCACTCTCTCCTTCCCGTAGTCCATCTTCCATCTACAACCTGGGTGGGGGGGGGGGGGGGTCCGTCCCCTTAAAAGAAAGTTACCGGTCTGCTAGCTGAGCTGTCCAGCTCACAACTCTATCAAATTGATGGTAATTGAAACGAAAACAAGGCACCCAAACAGCGTAGGTCCTGTCGCTTCGTATTTCGCGCACAAATCCGTGGTTACACAATTACGTCACAAAAAAGCGACATAGGCGTATTCATTGAATGGACCAAGGATTGGACTACAAAATATGACCAAAACACCCTCCTGATGTAGATAGATAGATAGATAGATAGATAGATAGATAGATAGATAGATAGATAGATAGATAGATAGATAGATAGATAGATAGATAGATAGATAGATAGATAGATAGATAGATAGATAGATAGATAGATAGATAGATAGATAGATAGATAGATAGATAGATAGAGTATCCATAACAACACATACACACACACAGCATTTCCTTATTATGTGTGTGTAAGTGCTATGAAATTAATTTAATAGCTGATAATTAATTTCAGTATTAATAAAGTATGACATTCTTTAAATCATTACAGGTTAGCTTCTCTGGCATTAGGTTACCACAAAAAGACTATCTTTAAAAACTATTTGCTGTTGATAAATACTTTTTTTAACTTTTGCTATTGGTCCAGAATCACTATTTATATTCATGGCAGTCAGATCCCAACTAAGACTAGGCTTTAATGTTCTGAAATGTAAAATAATGAAATTATTTCCTTGTTTGAAATGTAGTCGAATCGACTGCAGCAGCAACAGAATCTGCTACAGTGGAAGACCAGAAAGAAGACCAGAAAACCAGAGAAGACAGGTCAGATTTATTTTTATTTTTTTTACCGTTGTCTGAGTTAGACTTGTCTAATATGCAATGTAAAATGTATTTTTCAGAACTTTTCCTGCACTACTGAGTCTCATCATCCCTCTGGTTTCATTGATTTTGGTTGCTATTGTGGCGTTATTAGTACTGTTTAGAACCAGTAGGTCTTCCTATTTGTTTCTAGTTATTGAATCCGGATTACTTACTTACGGCAGGATTAATTTCTTTTCAAAAAGCATAATATAGCCATTTAATGTTTTACAGAATGTTCCAAAATTCAAGATTCAAGTGGCAGCTCCAACTTGGTTAGTGATCTTTAAAGAATGACCACATCAATATGATTTATTACCTAAACAATTTTTTTTTCTTTTTATAATAGGTTTATTCAACAGAATTCTATTTTGTACCCTTGTAAGTTTTATAGCTCTAATAAATAGTTAATTTTTACATTGGGTAAAAAAAAGCTTTTGATTTCTGCTAATATTTTTGAACTGATTTTTGGGAACTTATTATGTTGTAAGAGTAGCCATAACAAGTAGAAAAACTTCCCTGATATGTCTAATAAATACCTCCTATTTTAGCACTTCCCACTAACCACATTATTTATTTCTCCTTTACAGGCTGAAAGGAAGACAATGTGACACACAGTCATCACAAGCAAAATGTTTAAATCAATCGGTTTTTACATTTTTTTCTGTTACATGACTAAGGTTTAGACAACTTTGTTGTAAGGTCTCTTTGCAAGTGTGCAACAACGTAATGGTTTATTGTTTGACATCATGTAAAAAAAAAGCACTTGATCATATCTTTTTTTAGATTAAGTATACACATTCAACTGATTATGGAAAAACTTTAACCTCTTTATCAGCTTCAGAGCATATTGAATGCTTATTGTTCCTCTTGAATGCAAATGATTCAAATGTTTATATTGTCTTTATTTTGTTCTAATTCTAAATAAATGTGTTTAAATATTTTACTTTATTAGAATCTATGTCAACGCAGAATATTCATTGTGCATACTTCTACTAAAACCTTTTTCTCTGACTGATCTCTGCTTGACAAGTATTATTTGCTTTCATGCACAAAAATAGTATCTATCAATCTATTGTTGTGTATTAATCTGCACTAATCATAAGATAAAATAAAGTTAATGTTTTATAAGTTTAAAGTTGTTTTCCCAAATACTGTTATAAGAGCAATTCAAGGCCAAAAAGGAAAAGAAAAAAACAGAGCAATGAATGGAGCCATTCAAGGCCAGAGAGGAGAAAAGCAGAGCAGTGAGTATGTGTAATTGTTGCACCTGGCCCCAATAGGAGTGAAGTCTGCAGGACAACGCAGGGTTGAGGCCCCTTAGTGATAAGAAAGCACACTCAATAAAAATGAAATATTTGACATCTCAAGGTTGCCCAGCTCAGCAAAATTTGGCCATACAAAAAGAGTTGTTATTTTCAAGGCACACGGAGCGGTAATGGTCCCAGAAAGGGTGATGCTTTGACTAAGACACGAGGGGGGAGCAGTAGGCCAGACTGACATGGCTTGAAGCAAGGGAAAGATGTGTTATGACATGTTTGTGACTAAACCGTCATAAGTTTCTGATTTGAATGCACCAGATGTTTTCATGGCCTGAGAGATTGCTCTCACAAGAATGAGATGTGTCTATGAATGTCACCGTGTTTTGCAGATAAATATCAATGTGACCTTTACCAAAGACTGAAATATGTTCTGAAGGGGGTTTTCCACCGATAAGAAATGTATAAAAGGGAGCTGTGTTCACCATTTGTTCAGCTTCGGCTCACCGGTGACCAGCTCAGTGTGAATGTGTTGTGTTTAGCAATAAACACACTGGACCCGGACTCAGCTGCCTCTACCTACATTTTTTGATCTTTGTTTGAGACTTTTTCTGCTTTTTAAGAACTTTGAATTTTTATAAAACTTAGCTTCAATTTTAAGTCGTCAAGAAGAGAATTATAGACGACATAATTGGCGAGCCAGCTGCAGGAGGAAAGCAAAAAGGGGACGTCGGACGATCTGCAGGCACCAGCTGGAGAGCGTGGAACCCCAAGGGCCCATAATTCACCATTAAAGGTGAGTCAATTCGTTTTAATTTTCTAAATTAGTGGGGAACCGGCCTCCGGCTACTGCTTGTGAGTGTCAGGCGTCACAAAGCTCTCCTAAAAAGAACCTAGTTTTCCAAATTTAATAAAGTAATTTCCAAATTTGATAAGAATTTATATAAGAGTATATAAAGGCAGATTAAGCTGAGGAAGGGTCCAGGTATGTATGAATGTATGTATGAATGTATGTTTTAAGTGTTATTAATGTTTGTGTTAAACTGTTCTGTGTTTAAATTATTTTGTAAATAAGTTAAGCTTAACACGGGTTGTTCTGAGCGGATGATTGGTAAAGGGACAGATTGATACATAGTCTGTGGAAGCCATAAATCCGGAACCAATAGTGTACGCGTGTTACGTGAGGGTATCAGTGACTAAGGTAGTCAGGGTGCTCCACGAGACGGCTTAAGTAGTATTAAGGTATTGGAAAATGTGCCACTGTAGGAAACAGTGAGGAAAAGGTATTGAGAGGCTAAGCGATAGCCAGGCTAAGGGATAGCCAGAATATTACCGGTTAAGCGATAATCGGAGAATAGTACCGCTCGACCATCCGGAGGACGTCTATGCATTTCCAGTTATCTGGGTGCAGCCGGGGCAGCAGGGAAAAACGTAGATGCCACTGTAGGAAACAGTGAGGAAGGAAGAAGTGCACTGTAAATATATATATAATCATTTGTCTTGTGTGTCTGTGTTAGTGTGTAGAGTGAAAGAGTTGAGTAACTGAGGGGAAGTAAGGGGTGGGTGATATTAATAAATAAAGATTATAATATAGATAAAGCTTAAAGATATAATAATAAATTAATAGAAGTAATTAGTACAGAATATAGTTAAAAAGAATAACCTGAAAATTAATAAGGATTGGAAAACAAAATTGATAACTGAAAAAACACAAGAGTTATGAGAATGAAATAAATTAACAAAATTCCTAAATAAGATTGGAAGAAATTGTAAGCTTTATAAGATAAAGATATTATAAGTATATATTATTACAAACTATAGTCTACATAAAGTAAAATATATAAAGTATAGAATTAGTGAAAGTGCAAAATAACATTACAAATTTGTTTTATTAAAGATTTTATCTCAAAATTGAAAAGATCTAAATTTAGGAAGTAAATTAACTAGAAAGAAACTAAAAGAAAATAAACACGATCTGTATTGAAGAGAGCAGAACCAGTTAAGATAAAAATTAACTGAGGATTACAAAGACTGGTGAATAAGCACGGACCTGACGGTTGAGTGACTGCTAGTAGCTATGGGAATCAATATGAGCAAACAACAGTCTGACGGGCTGACGCCAGCCAAATTGGTAATATTGACACACCCATCCAATAAACGTAAAATTCAAAAATGCATGACCAAATGGCATAAGATGACATCTGGGAAAAATCGTTGGCCTAAAGAAGGCAGCTTTGATCCTTCATGCTGTGATGAAGTTGAAGAAAGATTGAGAAATAAAGATAAAAAACGGGACCGGATGCTTTTGCATAAAAAACAGAGGCATGCTGAAAAGAGAGACATCCTGCAATATTTCAAAGTAGAACACCAAAAGAGCCCAACAGCCCCTGATTACACTGATTATAAACCACCACCTTATCACCCTAGTGCAGCTGGTCAGTACCCAGTTGTGATAAAGTCAGGCAGCAGGGGAAAGATTACAGGGCAACTTAAATTAGCTTTAGAAGAAGAGGAAGAAACAGAAAAAGAAATGAGTAGCACACAGCAGGGAGAGTATGATTACAGCGGTGACTATGACGGATGGGATAAAACCCCAGAAGTAAGGAGAAAATCTACCCTTAGCCGTTCCCTACCCCCAGTACGTCACAGACATTTACCATACCCAAGAGGCCCCACTTGCCGCTCAGAGCCTAGGACCAAGTCAACATACAAAGGCCACACAGATCCCAAGATAGAGTTATTTTTGGAAGAAACTGAATCACTGGCAAAAGAGATAAACCAGGACTTGGTGCAACTAACGGAAACATTTGTACGACTCAAGGAGCAAGAGTTGGAAGAGAAAGCACAAAATAGACGATTAAAAAATTTAAAAGACCCAAAAAAAAAAAAAAGAGAAGAAAAGACGAGATGAAGAATTGGAAAAATTGAAGAGAATGGAAGTGGAGCAGCTTATAATAGAGGCCAAAACTGATTACCCAGACCTGCCAAGCCCACGGACTTTGTCTCTGATCGAAGAGGCAGGAAGGAGAGGGGGAAAAGACATGGAATATGAGGAAGAGGGAGGTGATGTGTCCGAATGTGAGGACAGTGAAGGCTCAGACATACTGCCAACTACAAACCCATTCCATGAGGGGTTCAAGGAGGAAAGCAGGCCAGCAGCAAAAGAAAGGAAGCCACTCACAGCTGAGTGTGACGTGGGGCTACAGATAGTAAAAAGCGGCCCTAGCCAAATGGTGACCAGGTCCAAAATGCGACAGCAGAAGACGGAACAAGATCAAGGAGGGACCTATATGGCTCCCTTGCTGTCTAAAGGACCTCATGATGACAGATACGTGCCATGGTCATTTATGGACATGATAACCCTGGCTGGAAGGCTGACCCCATTGGCAGATGGTGCTGACAGATGGATAGAAAAGCTGGAAGAAATCACAGGAGGCATCAATCTGGCAGCTGGAGACATCAAGGCGCTGCTAATTAAAACAGCAGGACACTCAGCAGCCAGAGAGGTGTTTGACGAAGCCCAGCTTCCAAGGGTCATGACCTCACACCAGTATGACAAGATACCATTCAACCAAATAAGACCCAAGGTGTGGGCAGCCTTAAGGAAAAAATACCCCACCTGCAGTGATCCAACTAAGCTGAGACAAGAATGCCTAAAGGATGATGAAAGCCCCGCCCAGTTTCTGCACAGGTTCCAACAGAAATGGAAAACAGAGACTGGAAGTGATGGGAATGAACTGAAAACATCTGGCCCTCTATTCAGAACCTACATCAGAGAGGCCATGCCCAAAGAAGCACAAGCCAAACTGGACGGAGTTGTGGGGCTCATGAAGATGGACTGGCCTCTGTTCTCTGAGCATGTTATTCACTATGTAAACATGCATCGGGCCGAGAAACGGGCCTTTGAGGACCAAAGCAAGATGCTGGCCACCAAGCTAACCCAGCTGCAGATTGGGGAATTGTCCAAAGCAAAGAAAGAGAAAGAGAAGCCCAAGCATCAAGCTGCACTGACTGTGGTGGCCACACCCCCAACCGAGGGAGCACCAACAGGGGAGGCAGTGGTACAAGCACCAGTAGTGTCTCCTGTTATTCCTCCACCCACACAGCAGATGCAGTATCCAGCAGCGCCACCTGTGGGAGGTGCCCTGCCACAGCAGACCCAACCTCAACCAGTCCCTCCTATTCATGTGCATCTAAACCAAGGAGGAGGTCCCCAACAAGCAACGTTTGGAAGGGGACGAGGGGGGCCACCCATGCGGGGAAGATGGAGGGGCCCACAAGGAGCCCCAAGAAGGCCCCCTCAAGGCCAATACCAGCAGATGCCACAGGCCGGTCCAGACATGGGACAACAGCGAGTGAGAATGCACTGCTGGGGATGTGGACAAGTTGGACACATGCAAAGTGACTGCCCCACTAACCCATGGATGGGACCCCAGCCCCCTACTGCTGGACCAGCCACCTATGGAACGGGACAAGACACGTACTGGCTATAGGGGTGCCCAGAGAAACCTGATGGAGAGGCCATTCTACCTGTATTAACCCAACATCCACAAACAGAACCCACCATTGATGTCATAATATATGACAGCCATCATCGCTTTATGATTGATACAGGAGCGGCCTACTCCTGTATAGGAAAAAGTGGAATTGGCCTGCCTCTCTCAGCATCAAAGATTCGAACAGTAGGTTTCTCTGGGAAGACCCAAATATTACCCATGACTAAGCC